GTGAGAACGTCTCCGGTCTGCTAGAGAATAAAACGGGTTCATCTGTTGAAAGTGGAAATGACTCTGAATGATCATAACTGATAAACGAACATCAGCTGTGTTGAAGAAACTAGAGACAAAAGCTCCTGAGGACAAAGTGTCCTGACGTCATAAAGTGAGAAGAGGAGACGTTTGTATCTGTGATGATGTCGTTCTGACTAAGTGTCGTCTCTGTTTGCAGATCTACTGTCAGAATCTCTGTCTGCTAGCGAAACTGTTCCTCGACCACAAGACGCTTTATTTTGACGTGGAGCCGTTTATCTTTTACATCCTCACTGAAGTCAACAAACAGGGGGCGCACATAGTCGGATACTTCTCCAAAGTGAGTCTCGCCGCTGGGCTCCGTTTTAGTTTCCAGTGTTTTTGCTGTGAAGTGGATTTCATCCGTTTTCATGACAGATTTTAAACACGTGGACGAGTCCCTCACTGTTGTATTTGGTTTCCAGGAGAAAGAGTCTCCAGACGGGAATAACGTGGCGTGTATTCTCACGCTGCCGCCGTACCAGCGCCGAGGCTACGGAAAGTTTCTCATAGCTTTCAGTAAGTGATGCAACCTAACGTGTGTATCTGCACCAAAGCTGCTGTTGGATAGTATTCATTGATTTTTCTATGAATTCAAACGATAACATGAGAAGTTGCAAACTTTCCCACAAAAATACGAAAAACTCCAAAATCGAATTGTGTCATGAATCTGTCCTGTGATTGTAGAAAGCCGGCGTGAATAGTGTCACCTGAGAGTTAACATTGTGTGTGTGTGTGTGTGTAGGTTACGAGCTGTCTAAGCTGGAGAGCACCGTGGGTTCTCCAGAGAAGCCTCTGTCTGATCTGGGGAAGTTGAGCTACAGAAGCTACTGGTCCTGGGTTCTGTTGGAGATCCTGAGGGACTTCAGAGGAACGCTGTCCATCAAAGACCTCAGGTAGAAACACGCTGTTTCCAAACGCCACAACCATCCTGTCACTTCCTGCCCAGACCCCGATCCTCACGCCCCCCCCCCCTCTGTTGATCCCCAGCCAGATGACCAGCATCACGCAGAGTGACATCATCAGCACGCTGCAGTCGCTCAACATGGTGAAGTACTGGAAAGGTCAACACGTTATCTGTGTGACGCCCAAACTGGTGGAAGAGCATCTGAAGAGCGCCCAGTACAAGAAACCACCAATCACAGGTGAGGGGGAGGGGGAGGCTGGTCGAGCAGGTGTGTGGGCGGGGCCTGGACACCACGGCTCCGCTCCACCATCACTGCTGCTCAGAGGAAGTGGATTCATGTCATTATCTGTGTTTCATGATGTAACCATGTGATGTAACCATGTGATGTAACCATGTGATGTAACCATGTGACGTCGTCTCTCCCACAGTCGACACTATGTGTTTGAAGTGGGCGCCTCCCAAAAATAAACAAGCCAAGTTGTCGAAGAAGTGACGGACGGATCGAGGACACGTGTCCGTCAGTGAGGTCATCATCTGCCAACTTCCACTTCTTCCACCTCGACCGGCGAAACCCCCGAACCTGCTGTAATAAAACCCTCTGTACATAATGATTAGTAGCATCTGTCTGTATTTTCTTAAATATATGTGAAAAAACAAACACGGCTCCTGTTTACTTCTTTCAACCGAGTTCTGAAAGTCCGTCACTCAAATGTAATAATAATAATAATATATGTAGATTATTACATTTGGTGAAGCTGATGAAACCAGTGGTCGAGCTGGTTCACCTGAGCTTCACCCGATGAAGACAAAAGTTTGTTCACCACAGAAACTCGAAGCTGTGAATCTACGATGAGGAGAAGAGATTTTAAATCGCAGGTGTCGGATGTTTGAACCCGGTGAACAGGTGAACGCTGGAGAACAGGTGCAGGTGAGTGATTTCAATGAATCCTCAATCATCAGAGTTTTATTTCTTTCTGTCGTTGCAGCAGCTTTAACTTCAGGCAGCTGCGTGTCATCAAACACACGAACGTCCAGACGTCTCCAGGTTCAGCACTTTAATAAGTTCAGTGTGAGTCTGATGCAGCGGAACAAACACACGAGGGCAGCAGCCTCAAGGTTTCCTCTGTCATGGAGTTCTTCCTGTTCCGTCAACAAAATGGAAAAACTTGCTCAGAAGATAAACAGAAATAAATCAGAAGTACGACACAGTTTATAAATGTGTTGTTACTGATCTCGTGCTCTGAACATTTGAACGGTTGAACTCGCTGGTAGAAGTTGATTTACAGATGAAATCACAGAAATATTTAATGTCAGTCAGAACAACAGCAGATTATTTCTTAATGTGACGTTAGTGAATGTTGGTTAATCTTGTGTTTAGTGCGTCTGTGTGTTTTTATGTGAGGAGTCAACATCACTTCAATCCTTCTGATTCTTTCAGGCGTCGTGGGAACAGACGTCAGCGGACGGAGACAGAAGGTTGCTGGTTCAAATCCTTGATCATAAGGTAAGAGCAGAGAAATAACTGAGTCAGCGAGCAGAAGAAGTTCTGAAGCTTTTAACTGGTGAGTCGACCGTGTTGGTTCTGAAGGAAACGTGATAATGAAGCAGCAGTTTGAATGATATCAAATCTAACAGATAATAAAAAACTCCGACAGCAGAGAACAATCCACTGTGACACCCTGGATATCAGAGACGATATCAAAGTGATTTCTCCTGAGATGAACGTTGAGTAATTCTGTCAACTAGTTTCGGTCCAAAGAAAATAAAGAGACATGGAGGAGGTTTGTGAGCTATACTGCAGCCAGACACCAGGGGGCGGTCCAGATGTTTTGGCTTCATTTTGGGAGCCGTCATGTCGTCCATCTTTGTTTCTGTCCGTGGTTCTCTGCAGTGGGAGGTCCAGTGTTCAGCTCAGCAGAATAATATCAGTGTGTTCCATAGTTTATATCATCGATGTGCTGAGTTCTGCTCGGTGTCACATGCTGGAGGACAACGATTGACTCTGTCCAGCTGTTATTGATCGACTGTATCGATGATTCCATCACCGCCGGCTGTCGCTGCTCGTCACAGCTCATGAAGCCACGTGTGTGTGTGTGTGTGTGTGTGTGTGTGTGTGTGTGTGTTTCTGATGCAGCTCTGTGACGCAGATTTCAGGCTTTTCATTCGCTCACAGTCAGTTTTATTGTTTTCATTGAATCTGACGTCACTAAGAAGAATGAAGAATTTTATCGAACGTATCGTTTGATCAGGACACTTTCAGCTGGAATCGTCTCTGTTGAACTTCCTTCTACAAATCTAAAGTTTATTATTCTGCTTCCTTTAATAGAAATTCATGTAAAATGACCTTTATTCAAAGATGTGACCTGTTTCTATTAGGTTTCATATCCACATTATCAGTTTCATCGAGAGTCTGATTCAACACAGGAGAGTCTGTGACTGCGACATAAACAGACACGACGAAGGAGATTCTGTTTTTTATTTCCAAAGTTGTACTTTTAAAAACCACTACAGTCATTGATAAGCCATTCACAACAATTCCTTTCTTTTGGTTTTGGACATTTGAGACAGTTTTGAAGTTTTCAGTGAGGATTTCCTAAAACAGAACAGCTAAGGCACAACACGACCCCCAGAGAGAGAACGATGAAGACGAGCGAGGAAATGAAACCTTAAACAAAGAAAAGTAAACTGAATCGTATGAAAAGAACAAACTCTTCATCAACATTTTCACTCCATCTTTAAAATAAACGTGACTCCACCTCGCTCGTCATTAACTTCAAACTGTTCATCATCTGTTGGAAACTTCACAAAATACTGATTTACATCGATTCACTCGTCATGACAAATACATACTGGACATAAAATGGCTCTTAATTAAAAAATCAATGCTGTTTATCTTGAGCAGGAACTGAACCCCAAGTTCTTTATGTAAGTTTCCTAAACGTATTTCTTCCTGGATGTTGGACATCAGTCGGATTTTAAACCTGATCACTGGATCAAACGTAGAGAAACTGTAACGACCCGAACATCTGGGAACATCTGCTCCATCATGTCTCATAATGAATCATATGGAGCAGTGACGTTCTGCTCGTTCCCTAACGACGAGTGAAACTTGATCAAATTTGATAAGTTTTAAAATCATTTTAATTCCTTTTGACACTATTAGATTTCATTAAATGATATAATCTGTGTTGGGTTAAGTTCATGTGTTAGCTTAGCTTAGCATAAAGACTGGAAACAGAAACCTTTGGCACTTCCGACGTATTAAAACTAAAATCGAGTTTTTCTTTGAGTGCAGTGACTCCTCTGTCAATCAACCGCTCTTTATGCTAAGCTAACCCGCTGCTAGCTGTATAGACGTGAGTGTTATAAATCTAAACATTAAAAAAAAGAATTATTTTAAATGTAAAACGTTGCTGTGACGGGAGTTCGTTCAAATGGTTTGTTGAGCTAAAATTCCAAACATCATATTTCACAAATTAAAAAAGTCGTGAATCTGATTCAACGATTTGCATCAGCGGCTGAAAAGAGGCGAAGAAAGATCGACGTCTCGGAGCAGCGTGAAAATCTAAAGGTGCCTCCTCCCAGCGGCTCAGCTCCTCCCCTCAGCTCCTCCCCTCAGCTCCTCCCCCTGTCCTGGTTGAATCCTGAATATTACTGACGGTTTGTGTAACAACAGTAAAGTGCACATTTGAAACTGATTCCATTTCACTTGGGGTAAGAAAGTAAATCACAACACAAACATGTATCTTCACGAGCATTTGTTATATAAACGCTGAATTCAATTATTATAAGACCTTTAAAATCCAGTCAGAGTAAAAAACAAGCTCCTTAGTTTAATAACTGCAGCTGAACTTTATCACGATGTGATGAACTCGTGGTTTGAAAGGAGACGAGAACTAATCCTGCTCCAAAACTCAGACATTCATCACTTCGAAAAAAACTACGTAGTTTTTATATAAACTTGAGAATAAATTACTCACAGCAGGAGTTTGTTTCGACACAGTCAGTTTCTACAGAGGAGAGCGCGCACACACACACACACACACGCACACGCACACACACACGCACACACACACACAGTGGGTGGAGGATGTTCTCATTAGGTTGTTGGCAGCGTTGGTTTAATCAAGTACAACTTTCAATTTAAAACTCTGAGGTACTTCTATAATAATTTAGGTGTAAAATCATCCCAGTGAACGTGTTCTGTGTGTTTTGTTGTAAAGGTTTTTTTAGAGTCATCGTCTCTGAAGCTCGAGATTTCTGGAATAACTGTTATTATAATTCAGGACAAGACTATAATCTGCATCTGATGGTAAAGTTCAATATCCTCACCCATCAACACATATTCTATAATAACTGTTAATATAATACGATAAAGTCTTTTGAATTGAATTGAATTAATTAAACAGAAGTTAAATTATACATTGTAGTAAAGAAAGTTTCCATGACGACTGGGAACCTTTAATAACAGCGACGGCAGTGATTCCAGTCTCACACAAAATTAACAAGTCCACGTAAACACGAGCGACCAGCTTTCAGCTCGTTTACATGGAATAGAGGTAAACGACTCTTCTGACACACACGCACACGCACACACACACACACACACACACACACACACACACACACACACACACACACACACACACACGCTCTGAGAGCAGTGCACTGAATGAGGACTGAGGAGAATTCTCTCCCTCTGAACTTCCATCCTTCCGTCTCCTCCATCATTCACTGACTTTAAATAAATAAATATGACGCAGTAAAAGAGCGTCAGCCTTCCTTCATTTGTTCCTCTCCTCCACTCACGTGTCCCTCAGTCTGTCCGTCTGCTACCTGATGCGTCCGTCCTCTCTGGGCGCGCTCACTTCAGACTTGGGGTCGGGGCTGTCGGAGCTCCAGGCGGTGAGGCCGCACCTCTGCATGACGGGACAGGCGCTGGGGCCCGTCGAGCAGATGTCCGAGGCCGACCAGTGGCCTTCCAGCAACCGGTCCAGCCACTGACGCAGCGGCGCCCCCGTCAGACTGGCGTTGGCCTCGGCCTCCTCCACGGCGCCCAGGCTCACGGGCAGCCGCAGCACGGGGTTGAGGCCGTGGAAGCTCTGCTCCATGTAGGAGTTCCTGGGCGGGCCGCCGTGCAGCCGCTGAGCGTCGTCTGGAACACGAGAGGGAGGAGAAACTCACGTCACATTCAAATCCTCAAAATGTTGATGAATCTTTACATCAGATATCACACACACACACACACACACACACACACACACATACACACATACACACACTGTAGTCAGATTACATCACATGCCACCTTCACTTTATAAAACCAACCCATAAAAATCTCACCGTCTATTCTTACTCTGGGATTTAGAGTCCTGACGTTACACACACA